GAGTCACCTTTAATTCTAGACTGGAGGAATGGACGACCAATCCATCAACCAAGAGTTTACTTTGATAGGAGAGATGATTCATTATTATCAGTGGCTGTTTGATGTGAGTATTACCGTTTATTAATATCATTATTGGAAGTATTTTTATTATTTGAAGTCCCTGGTGGGTTTAGTGGTTCGTTTAGGTACTTTTCTCAGTGTATAAGACTGGGGGCTACTATACGAAAAAATAGGAATAGAAAAGCGAAAATATAAACGAAGTGAAAAAAGGAAGTAGTAAAAGAATGACGTAAAAATTTGAAAACTGAAAAGARTAAGGAATGGTATTAAAAAGAAGTAAAAAGACTAGTGAGAGAAAGAAACACAAGACAGAATTATATGAACCTGTACAATATTGCAATTAATTGTGCAGAAATYTTGATAATATTATCATTCGTTTGAAGGTTAATGATGAAGAGATCGAAAAAGATAAGGTAAGTTTTGAGCTTTGCCATTTCGTGTAGTTTTGTTTGATAATAACAAATAACAGTTGGATAATTCTTGCTATTTTTCAGCGTATGGAGGATGCAATGAAGAAAATTACACAGTTACGCGAGGTAAGTGTTRTATCATTCACCGTTCTAAATTTAGTAAATAAATGAATATTTTAAGTCATTAAATAAGGTTGTGAGTGTCCAAATGGGACACTGTACCCAAAGTTAACGGTTTATCACATAAGGATAAACCAAGCCACGATGGTACAACATTTGCTGCTTTTCACCTTAGGGCAGTGCAGGTCCATCCACTCAAGAATTCACTCTAGACATAAAAGTTGAAGAGAAGGATGATGCAAAGTCTTGTCTTCTCAAGGTCAGCAAGGATTGGGATTCCTGTCTAAATTCTTAAAAAAAAAACGCTAAACGCTTTGTACACTTAAGCCTCGGTTTCAATTGAGCTGTATGACGTCACACAGGACTTAATTACTTTACATATAACTGTCTTAATAGGTTTCTGACGCGATGACTGCGGGAGAGCTGTGTATGAATATAGTGTCACAAAAACGTTTGCAGCCAGAGAATAACTGGGCTTTGTTTGAAGTGATTGAGAAGCTTAATATTGGTATGTAAGAGATCTCTGCTATCAGTTGCGCATTTCCCTAACGTCTCCTCGGTGATTTTTTTTCGTACCGGGCTTCCTGTGCCCRAACCGCAGGCTGCAAAGGAGACTCATATAAAAGGTGCGGTTTTCGTATTTTTTGAAAAGTGACCTAAAAGCTGCAGCACCTTAAACATTGGAGTTTCTGGTGCCTTGCACTGGCCAAGAATCTGGGCAGCTCTGACTGTAACTAGTCTTTCAGATATTTATGACATCAAAAATCCTTTCCCATGCTCTGTTCTTCTTTTGTTTCTTGTGATGAATAAGGTTCTCTTTGTTCGTTTATTGTTTGTGTGGCATCGGCGTTTTTGTTTTCCTGCCTTCTGTTCCTCTATATGGTATGTTTTGTTTCTTGACATTATACTGTGTCCTTTCAGAGCGTGCTCTTCAATTTMGAGAGAAAGTTCTCCCTGTTGTAATGTCATGGGATGTTTTTGGTGAACATGGTAAAGATAATTACTTGATCGTGAAAGAAAATCATATTCTGGAGAGCATACAACCTTTTGTAAGTATTGAAGTAATCATCATTATCACAATGACATAATCATTATTGATGAAATTGAAACTTCACGACCAATTTCACAAGTACCTAACTTTCATTTCTTTTAATTTGACGATTAAGTCTTCTATATGCTTAAGCGTGCAGCACTATTATTTGTAAGACTATGAGAAGGTATCATTGACTTTGATGTCTATCACTGTTTCAGTATCATGGTCGTTATGTTAATTGAATAGAGGCAAACATACTCAATACAATAAGTTTTTTACAATASGGKTTTTTTTTTGGTTCATGGGAACCTTTCTTGAAGCAAYTGCATATCTTATTATTACAAGGTTTGGACTTTKTCTGTATTCGTCTAAGCGTGCATGGAATGAAAGCATGTTTCGCTTGTTTATCATACTTACAGTACACGACATTGTAGGTTGGCAATTCTCTAGCACTCGAGGGTCAACTTCATCTCCGCGAACCCAAGAAAAAAGACTGGAAACTATCCACAGTTGTTCTTCAAAATGGCAAACTGGTTATGGACAAGACTAAGGTGAGGTCACGTGATAAATACTCGAGATAAGAGAAATGTTGGATGCAGGACRAGAGGTTGATTTTGTTGCGCTGAATAAAAAAATACTGATAAAGTATGTTACAATTCTACCTTTCAGTCATTTTTCAAGTCCATCAARTCGGATAAATCAGACGCTGACCAGTGGTCGCTCCACAGTCTGCTTGTGTATGTTGGTGTGCCAACAGAGAAACCACAAAAAAACATTGATACCAAGTAAAGTTTAATGTTACATAAGAAATACGTCTACGGGGTTCGAGAATAGGCTCATGAAGCTTTTCCGTCAAATACTTGATTTGCAATTCTTTATGGGATCAGTTCAAGAGGAAACAAAAGAAATCCGTAATRTTTCGTCCCAAACACATCCTACAAATCATTGCATATAAACGGTATATGTCGTAAGCTTCAGAGGTCTATCGAGAGAAAGTGAATTTTAACCAAATGATTCTTCCATTTCAAAACATTTTTCATGAAGTATGATGAAGTTTTTTTATGAAATCAAAAAAGAATTAGMAAAAAATATAGAGCGCGCCCGATGAGGGACTTGAACCCGCGACCCTCAGATTAAAAGTCTGATGCTCTACCGACTGAGCTAACCGGGCAACTCGTGGAAACGKTAKTCTCAATATATGGTATCATGAATTATACCTTCTGATAAACCATTTAAGGATTTTATGTAGTTAAGAAGCCTATAGTTGAAGGGTTYAGCATTTTAACTTTTATCAAAACATTTTATGCCTTCATTCAAGAAATATTGAAATGTGTTGATCGTTTGGGCTTCCTGTGGTGGATGTCATTAATAATGCACTCTGTCGTGATGTTATTAATAGTGAATTTCTATTTATTGTCTTTTCAGTGCTGGTTTTACTGTTGTTGTGAAAAATGATCCTGAGCTTGGTACCATGACAAAGTATGAAAATCATCACACATTTTAGTGATCGTAGTAGCCACGCAAAATGTACGATGATGCGTGATTTCTGTGTGCAGARTTCATCCAAAGGGAACCCACAGGCAACTATGTTGTACGATGCTAGACTTGAGTCATGGCTTTACTGTAACTTCAAGGACCAGTTGTACGTCAARGAAATAGCGCTATCCACCTGTTAAATCCTTATAAAACGGATAAAATCTCATACAAAATATAAGGAATGGATTACTTCAACCAGTGGATAACTTTATCAACCTTTCGTACAATCAGCCCCAGACTATAAAGACAGCTGGTGATTAGGCCGAAAGCAAAAGCAATTATTGAGCGCTATTTCAGGAAACTAAAGAAAACTTCCGTTTCTCAGACCCATCGTCAAGATAATATATCCTTTGTAAACGCTTTTTTTACAAAAACTGCGAAATGGATTTTGTTTTTATTTTATTCCGTTTAACGACCTTTCATTCTATGTCATCTTGTGTTTATTTTCATCAGGTATTTGTGTGCTCGGGACAGAACGGAAATGTTTAAATGGGTGGCAGCTATATTGAATATGAAGGTATTATTTGCTGATCGTCCTGTGGACTGTTATTTTCCGTTCTTTTTTGATCATCATAACATAGTTTCCCTGTCCTTTTATTATTATTGAACTCACAGCATCCAGAAGGCTTGTGGAATGACCCAACTACTCAAAGGGTAAGCCGATTTTATCTGCAATTGTCGACAACAAATGTTCTGAACATCTAGTCATTTTTTCGCATTAATGATAATTTATTATAATCTTTTTATTTAGCACTTATACTGCGCGATTTTAACCATACATACGATCAATCGCGCATTACAGCACTATATATGAATCACTCACACACAATAGCTCAACGTTAATTATTTTGGTACATGGCACTCCTCAAAGCTAGCTGATTTTAACAACGATTKTAGCACGCTATTTTTAYGAATTTTCTTTTCACTTCTCTTTATCACAACCGACTCTACTTGGATATTACTGATTGTATGTTATACTTCCTTTCCAGGTGAGAGATAGACAGATGTACCTCGGCCGACAGGTTTGTCTTCCTCTCATCCTCTCTAGTTAGCTAGTCTCGTCGTTTTTTATTACTTTGAAACAGAATGAAAGGGATCTCTTTTATTTCCTTTTTAATAGTGCTAAATAGCGCTGATTGTATGTTATACTTCCTTTCCAGGTGAGAGATAGACAGATGTACCTCGGCCGACAGGTTTGTCTTCCTCTCATCCTCTCTAGTTAGCTAGTCTCGTCGTTTTTTATTACTTTGAAACAGAATGAAAGGGATCTCTTTTATTTCCTTTTTCTGTAATGTTCTTTCTCTAATTTTTCTTGTCTTCTTAGATTTCATCCTTTCTTTCTACATTATCAGTTTGTTATCTTAGAAAATCTTTCTCAAGCAGCGTTCCATTCTTAATTCTTCCTTTTTTTCTTGATTTCAGCATCTTTCGTACTCGTATTTTTTCTTCCGTCTGTTCACTAACCGCTAAAAACATTATGCTCACTTCAAAATATGTTTGAATTTCCCAGTTGGCGATTTGAATAGAAGTTATAGAAGAACTTCCTTTGCGGAAGTAATCTAAGATGAATTTTGTTTTGTTAAAAGCATATTAAATTATGTCTAGGTGACAAATTTGATTTAAAAACGAAAATGCTTGCAAAATAATACATGATTTCGAAGACAAATTTTAAAACTGGCCGGAACAATTGGAGATTATCCCTCCATGCACCTTCCCGCGAATTCGGATTAAAATCTTTATCTTTATCCCAAAACATATTGAAATTTCTCTTGATTTAAGAGTTTGCATCGATTATTTTTACTGTTTTCCTTGCAGTCTAACTATCTTCGACGCCAAGGCTCATCCAAACATATCGTAGAAGAGATAAAACATCGTCAAAAATCACTTCGACGTTCAACCGCCAGACCTACTTCTTGAACTATSTCTACAATCAAACTTATAATTGGTACAGTAGAATATGGTTTCTTAGGCTTAAGTCAGACAGTTATGATTTGAAGTAATTCATATATTCSAGAGATATTTGATTCAAAAACAAAAAAGTGATCAAAATAATACATCACGTTCACTGATTTCGAAGTTTCAAGATTGCTGCGCCATAATGGGGAAGTGATCTCAATGGAAAGAATGACCATTGAAGATCATTTATCCCACCCACCTAACCACGAATTCAGATTAAATGATGATCTTTGTCATTTTATCTGAATCGCAAAACATATTTTTGAATGAATTAAACTTTTTTTCTTTTATTCAAGCYTTTATACTAATACTGCAGTTTCGAGACTTATTTGTGCAGCCTTAACCTCGAAAGCATGCAATACGTTCTTTTCCAGATTCAGCAGATATCCTATTGTTATGCAAAAACTCTGTGTATAAAACCAAGTCAATAAATATTTATGCTTGATTGAATCTAAGCTTTACAAAAGAGAATTCGAAACGGGAATATTTATTATTATTGTTTTTCTTGCAGTTTAACGATCTATAACTTCAAGACTCAAGAGATTAAAATTCATCCAAAATCTCTACTACAGTCMATTCCGACAGATCTATCCTAGAAATATGGCTACGAAAAAAATATACAGTTGTATGTATACTTTCATAGACTAAAGTCGTACAGTATGATAGTGAAATAACTGTATATAAGTCAAACAATCTAGATCAAGTTCTTTAATATAATGAGTATATAAAAGTTCCTGCGAGCTCTTTTTTCAGCCGATTGAAAGAACGCCCTTGTAGATCATGGGTGACCATAAGCTCCATCAAGCGTCAAAAGCCGCAACACTCGAGAGCTCTTGGTTTTGTCCCTAGCTGGAGCTACTTTCAGGGGTGTATCAGTTAATTCATCTTTCAGCCCAAACATTGCTCCTCCATCTGTGCAACTTAAATAGCTGTAGTATAAGTTTTAATATCGTGGGGTGTAAAACCAGGGATCACTTGAGCTAAGAGTATCCTATCTATAAGTTTGACCGTCAAAATAAACACTCCAGAGATTGAGAATGGGCAGGTCGTAAAAGCGGAGAAAAAATCAACGGTTAATTTAGATTTCCGGCACTTTTCTGATTTGTTCAAGCAACTTCCCATTAAATGTTTTTCTCTTCCATTGTATCATTGCTCTTTCTCGACTTTGGAGGGACTTAAAACATGGCACTTCAGATGTTCACTTTTTCTAGGTAATGACGTGATGTTTCATACAATTCTTAAATAATAGAAATTAGAATTAAAAGACAAATTTATAACAATTAAAGGTTATGGATCATTTTTTCAGACCTTAAAATATTGAATTCATTGTGAATAGCTTGGTATTATTTTCGATGTAAACTCAGGGTTAATCTGAGGTTATGGTCCTTCATAGACATGATGTCCTTTTATCACTTTCTCTACTCAAAGCGYTGCAAAAGCGCATATCTGGTTRGGAAGGGCCTTTTCCCTCCCCTACGGCCAAATTTATAAAAATTAGAACTGCATCCAATCAATAAAGAAAGATTTTATGCAGTTGTCTTAGAWGATAACAAATAAACACCTAAAATGTCAATGGTTTTGTAGATATTCAAAGCGAAACTGACCGTAGAAATTCTTAGTTTTATCACCTGTGTAAAGTCTATTTTTTAGATATTGAATAGAATTATTTTTCATAATGTTTTGTATGTTTAGTTTTATTAAACAGATTAACATTTTATTTTATTTGTTGTGCTTGATTACGACGTGTTTTATTCTGATTAAAGTGGTAATAAATGAGAAAAGGCCGAATTCAAGGCACAACATTTCCTACCACCTTTTTGCAACATGGCTTTTGCCCTACAACATTTGTAGCCATGTTGTAAAGGATGACTTACGCAGGTTGCGTGCGATGGTTGTAAGTTATGTCGTCTAAATCGGACTAAAGAAGTACGTCTATATAAAACTCTAGTTAATGATAAAACTATGGCGATGCGTGTTTATTGGATTCTAACACTTGACTCAAGGATCCATATTGGTTTATATTTGTCATAATTATCGTCTATTATTCGCACCACTATACCAAAATAGCGGTACCAATCGATTTTCACCATTATGATCTAGCATGCAATTATCCAAATTCAAGTGATTCACAGATGATCTGTGTGGTGGCAATCTGCAGAAAACATTGGCAAAAAGTATATTTTTTGGCCAGTTTTAACTTAAAAGTCATAAAATAGGTTTCATGTGTTCGAACTCCCAAAGGTTGTACTGATCATTGWGGATGAGGCGATAACAGGTGTTGAAGTCAGTCCAACCTYTCGTKGCCTGGGCCCKTTCACTTTGTTTAGGTGGTAAGAAACGGACGCGATAACGAGGTTGGGGATCCTTTCAGTTCACTTTMATCACTGCATTAAAGCGAGGCTATATAGAGACTACCAAAGGGCAGTTTTCTGGGATTACGGATCAATTACCTTTTATCATAGGGATCTGCCTTTTAGCCTTGGATTGGTATCATGGCTGTCTTTTAGAGTCAGGAGGGCAAACGTTTTTTTTACGTTCCGTGACGCGGGCTGTGATATAACAAATCAATGAAATACGTTTTTTTTTTCTGGAGGACCGGCAACTACACAATAGCTTATTATTATGTGAGGTCATTGAACCATTCATACACTGAACATAACGATGAACAAATGAGATCTAGCGTACCATTACAAAGTGATTAATCTCTTTCGCTAATTTCGAGGTAGAAAAAAAGTTTTAGATGTAGATTATCCATCGATCGCATCATAGATAATCTGATCAGGTTCAAGCTTGGTCATTCTGAAGTTWCTGCTATCATGGCTATTGTATAAAGTAAATGATAAAACGTCTGTATTCGCGTTCGCAGACCCCATACGTCGAAAGTATTACGTAAGACACGTAACATACAAATTATCATTGAAATTGCTTTGAAATAGAAGTTTACGTTAAAATTTGTTTAAGAGATCTTAACAATAAAATGAAATTTCTAGATTCTCTTAACTATYGCACAACGGAAAATAAGTCTAAAAGCAAGTGTTGCTTTGCACGTAATCGGCACCTACGATTTGCATTCTTTGAAACTTGACGTAATCCTATCGATATCCCACAATGCCATGCAGCACKAAACAGACAGAAAGGGTTGAACGAAGCTATTCCTTCTTTGCCGAATTAAAAGGCGATTTTGTTATCAGTTTTTTCTTCAATGGGGCCAAATAGCGAACCAGTTATATCGTGAATGATCGTAGAATATCCTTTGGTTAATGTAACCACCATATATCGACAAAAGAGTCGCATAATTTCAAGTAAGCGAGGGCCAAGTCGAWYTACACTATGACAACTGCCTCGCAGCGCCAGACAAGAGTGATTCCAGAGGATAAGGTATGCTGAAGATTTTCGCTTGTTATTAACATTGTCTTTCAATTCAGAACCTATGATATCTTCCCTTCGGTTTACTGTGAATTATATMCAATATTATTTTGACATTTAACCTACCGTTCTAGAAGAAATGCGTACGGTTCTAGAACGGAAAAAAATTCAACATTCAGCATAGGGAAATCGACCATCTATAAAATATGGTGGGATACCAGTGCCCATCACTATTTTCCCACTTTGCTAAAATACTCAAACTTTTTGAGATTTTAAATTACAAGACATAATGTTAATATTTTTTTTCTTGYATTTTTTACGCATATATATTTAGCTTATCCTAGTCAAGACTTTAGTTTGTTTAGAATAATTTCAAGCTTAGAACAAGACTAGACTCGCAAGACTATTATGGGGATTTTTTTCTAAAGAAGTTATTGCAGTAATAGAAAGTCCACAACATCCTTGTTTTTTGAGTTTAATGCTGTAGCAATGTGTTTTTGTTGTATCTGTTGTTTTGGCTCGCTGCTGAAATATCTGCTTTACGTGCGGTTCTTAGTTTCAAGCTCTTGTATCTCTCTAAGTCGACTCTTGATACTTTCTGATTATCCCTCGATATTTTTACTCTGATTATATGTTGTGTTTTKTCTTCGTAATGTGTTAGTTTGTAGTGTTTTTGCAAAAAGCTTGGCTGTAGTCATGTAAATAAATAATACGGATTTATATTGCTGTAGAACAATCGAAGTCGTGCTCCATTGCTTCGGCATTGTATTATATCGGCAGTATGAAAAAACTGAATTCTTTTGGAAACATTCCTCGAAATTACTACCATTTAGAATAATCCAAACAAAAATATATGGCATGGTTATCAGCCACATCCAACCGCAGATTGTAATTCGATAACAGTGAATTCGGAAACTATATACTTTAGTAAACAATTTCTCGTTTAGCGATATCTCAGAAATAGTTTACTTACGACTTTTATTGGGATGTAACAACTTTCATTTGGATTTGTATCCAGACCCAAGCAATGTATGTGAATTGTCAATATTGACACTTTATTTAAGTATCTCACCTCAGAGATTGGGATTCGTGAATTGTTATTCTTTGACTGCCCTCTGGACATGTACGAATTAACTCAATTATCCACATAGCTTAATTCTCATTAGCTGTTTTTGCGATATATTGTATAATCTAACTGATTTTTATTCATTTAAACACATAGTGGAAGTTCTAATTACATTACATGTAATATAAAGATCTAATTGAGATAACATTGATATTGCTGATGTTGCATTGTTGATTGTGTATTGATTTTATAATTGGAAATTTCAGCTTTGATTTTAGTATGCTATACTTTGTGAAACTCATGATTTAGTCGGTTTGTGCAGTGCTGTTGTAAAAAAGTATTTATAAATAAATTGTTCAACTATGAGAAAGTACGTTTGAACTTACAACAAAGGTTTTCCAATCAAACACAATAGTGCGTTTTCAATGTTAAAAGAAGGAGAACAATAGATGACAATAGAGGGGATTGTCTTCAGCTCTTGTGTGTGTGACAGTACAGTATTAAATGTCTGATTGGTCAATGTCCCTTGGTCATTCAAATTCATAAAAAAGCTTAATTAATTGGATAAGAACTTTTCTTAAGGCTGATTTACATGATACAACTTGACCACTGCGACTTGACATGAAAAACTGTGCCATGTRCTTGTAAATGGCTCTATGACTAGACWTGTGTGACCTATGACATGTCTCAAGCTTTTGAACCTAGGTTCAAAATCCTACAACATGAKGTTATGCACACAACAACTAGTCACATCTTGTAAATCAGCCTGCATTGGATTCTTTGTGACAGGTGGGACAGTGGGTTAATAATTGCCCTACACAGAGGGAGGACAAGGATTGTATCCAATTTTACTTAACAAATCTAAATCGAATAATTATCAGTCATACTAGTATTTGATTTATACTGTTCAATACTTCTAATGTTTCATCCCTGGAAGCCCTTTCTGTCTCATACTCTACTCTCCCAGAAATAATTCCCCTGGGTACCAAGTCTGTTAGACTATGTTCCAGAGGTTGAAGTCACCAACTGAGGTTGTTYGCATGACATGACATAGATTTTKTACATGACTTAGTAAAGTTGGTGTTAAACTTTAAATATGTGGGACAATTTTATAGATATTTTATCTTTTTTTGTCAGTGTGAGCTTGTCTTACTATGTCTGGGTTCCCAAGAATGATAACATATTCATATTTGTACACCAATGTAAAGGTTAATKTATTTAAAAATGGATATGAATGCTACAAAGTTTACAGTGCTCTGACTTAATCTTGAATGGTGTTTGGTCTTGGAATAAGATTATGGAGCAAAGAAAATTAAATTTTATGTTGAGGAGTAAGGAAGACCAGTCTTTGTTCAATTCCTGGTCTGGGATTGTGTGTGATATKAGTGTATAGGCTGGTCATTTTCCTTAGTACAGGGGTTTTTCAAGTATACTGGTTTTCCTTCCTCAGTGTGGGTCTGAGTTTCCTCATTTAATATRACATCATTCTTAGTGGCTAGAGTGATTGAAATGTCAATAGCTGTGACAACATGGATCTTTAATAATTGTTATCTTGTTTTATAGATATGTCTCAGGCTGATTCTGGTTACTGGCAAAACTAATGAATTTATATTTTCACCAAGTGATACAGCATATTTTGTAGCACAACACGTCTTTGAGAACTGGCCTCAAGGTATGCATTATGTAACTGGTAGCTGTTCTCTATTGACAGTTTGTAGAGACAGATCTTGATATTCAAAATTCTCTATTGTACAGGACTTGTTAATAAATTATTATATTTTAATTAAAGTTTGATTGTGAAGCCCATACTTGTAACAATTTTATTAAGAGAAAATCTGAGTTAAAGCTGTGTGCAAATCTTGCTTATATAAAGTTGTCTGTCACAGCAATGATTTTCCATTGTTTACCTAATGAATAATTAATGAATTTAAAAGTTGTGAAACTCGCTTGCATCTTTATTGTACTATATATCTTTACTCTTATTGGTGTGTAATGGGAACCTTATAGTTTAGGGCGCCATTGGCTAGTTATTGGATAACTTGTACTCACCGATGCTCTTTAAAAACAAGTCATTGAGTAATTTGTAACTCTCATTTTCCTTCTTTGATTTCCCTTCTATTTAGATTGGAAGGCTGAAACTGTTAGCTCACACAATATATTAAAACTCATATACCAAGGAAGGTTTCTACATGGCAATGTCACTTTAGGAGGTAATTAAATGTCATCAACTTTGTCATGTCCTTGACGTTTTTCCAAAGGGGAAGTTACTAACTGTTGGTCACATAAATATTGTGTTGAACTTCAGCTAAGGAGTTTTTAAACTGCTTTGACATTTAATCATTTTGAATTGTGCAACTGTAGGAGCAATTTCAATTCATTGGAGTATTTTCTCTTCATTGTGTTTTTCAGCTTTACATTTGCCTCTTGGTAAGAGAACTACCATGCATTTAGTTGCTAGAGAAAACCTTCCTGAACCAGCATCTCAAGGTAACCATCCATTACTGTCCATATTATTCCTTGGTTGTTGTAAGATGGATGATAAGCTTGATTGTTTAATAGCTTGATAAATCACCATGATTGGTTCATCTCTCAGCATCCTTAYTTAACTTGAATCAACTAATTTATATGAATTGTTGGGATTGTGCTTGGTTGTGTTGCAATGATTATATTTAGTATTTAATGTCATGATCAATCCACAGGCCCAAGAAATCGTGAAAAAACAGGCGAGAGAAGCTGTTGCTGTACAGTACTTTGATAAATGTTTGTATAAAGAAGCTACTGGTGATATGTCTGGCAAATCTCTGAAACCTTTATTTAAAATATTAAAATCTCACTCTATCTATATTTGTCACATATATCTCAGTGGTCATAAATAATATTGTTTTCAGTTTATAGATACCAGTAAATAAATACAGYCTTGTACAAAATAATGTAAAAACTGTTCATATACAACATGGTTCATTTCTATTTGAGGTTACAAAGAAAAATGTTCTGACAAAGTAATGTGTGTAATGTAGACAGTTGTATACCCTTGTAGTCATAAACTTGGTTCACACAGCTCCATCTTCTATAAAAGACTTCTATTAAAAGACTCCAATCATAGGAATGTATCAAAGATACTCGTATAGACATGGATAAGCATGTACAGGACRTGTACAGCCATTACAGAACAAATACTTTCATTGTAACTGCTCAAATATTGTAAATGAATCCCAAACATTTGAACAGTATTGCTACTGATTGTAAATTTAATTTATACAGTTMAGACTCAGGCCCTACCACATTGGATGCTTTAAGGCTTCTTATATAATTCAATTCCTTAACTAAAGCAAAATGTAGCTGTGTCATTGTGTGGACAGGGCCTTAGACATCTAAGAACTTTTCCTAGCRTACATGTCAACTTCTTTTTTAACTTGAAAAGTTGCATTCTATAGTAGGAAAAGTTGGTTTGTCAGTCTATTTTGAATAATGGATCTAAGATAAAAATCAAATATATGTGCTGTAGAYTTAACCATTTCAGCTCAAGAATTAGCCATTGGTCATGATTCAATGATACRTTGAAGTGGTGTACTGAGTCAAAAAGCTTATGTTGCTATCTGAGACTATATATTTTTTGTAAATATGCAAACTACAATGATTGAATAAGAACCACCATTTTTGTTGCTTTTGCTGTCTTTCAATACTTGCTCTCATAACCAAATGAACTGTGAATCAGTGTTGGGAATTGTTCTGAGTTCATTCAGGTTTGGCAGAGCAGTCTCAAAACATTCAAGTCACTTTTGAGTTTTGATTTGCATCAGCAAAAACACCAAGTTGATTTATTGCATGTTAATGTAAATTGCAGTAAGCTATCTCTTGTACTCRGTCAATGTTTCCAAACTTGTTTACCTGTATTCATTTTTATTTTGCCTTCTAAAAGCTAATTTTATTTTYAGAATTAATTTAAATCCATATTTCTATTTAGTATGCAAAGATAGAATTTAAAACCACTTTAAACTGTGTGTACTTGTATCCACATGTAGAAAAGTGTCATTTTTTCAAAGGTCATATTTACTTGGTATTTTTAGCATGAAGGTGTAAAGCACTAGGGAAGATTGTTTGAAAGGTGGTTGATGTGGTACTACGTATTTTTAACTACAGCATTGCCATTGCATTAGTATGCTTGTAACAAAAACTGGCTTTGGACATACATACACCTGTGCTAGTTATAAGACTATAGTTATAAGACTATAGGCTTCCCACAAAACTATCAGTGTAAAATATCCTGCATTCAGATGTCTTTCATGTAAATAATATGTTAAATCATTTCCTCAAATATTAGAAATCTTGTTTTAAAGTCAATCCAGAGCATTGCATGATTAGTATGTGTGCATGATTTGTCAAATTGCTTCTATTATAAAAGTTTAGGAATTCAAGATGCACACTTGCCCTCGACTTCAGGGTTCTCAGAGCAGCTAGAGTTTTGTTTAATTTTTTTAGATTTAAGCATTTTCTTCAGGAAGCATTTTCTTCAGGAAGCACTAACCATCCTCATTTTGGGACAAATTCTATTTCTAGATGAAATCTCATGCTTGGTATGATCGTGCTTGCAGAGATCAAGTCAAGAGTTCTCTGTTGTAAGTTCAGTTTATTTTTTAAATTTATGAATGAGGGTTTGATCAGCAGGATGAGAGTTAACTGTAGCAACTATTATATTAGTAAAACAGATAGAAAAGAAAAGTGAATAAATTAGTGAAAAGGAAATCCTGCATTTCTCAGAATTGKTTTCACCACAGTCTGTGTCAAATGATATGCCARGATTTMAGAAAAGGTCATTAAAAATCTAAAAATAAAAGTCAAAGAYGTTGATTTTCTTGGAATTTGAGCCAGAAATCCTAATAAATTTACTGTATAACTATCAATGTATTTTGAGATACTAAGAAGATCATTTTTATCAGATTTTCAATGAGTACCTAATCCCATAAATTCTCCAYCACTGATGTTAGCCACTTTGAAATGAAGGACAGAGAGTAACWGGGAAACATTTGAATGTAAAATCATGTAGATAATGTAAATTARAGTTTTTTTCAGTAAAGTAAGAATGTAATAATCATAAATTAAGGATTTAAATGCAAAAAAGATACACCCAACTACCAGAGATTTCTATCATAGATCAAGTCTATTATTGYCATTAGTTTAAATATGCAACTAATTGAAATATGGCCATAATTGCAACTTCTAATTAAGTCCATGTTAAACATCTACTGTGACTGAATGCAAACCTAACACTATGAAAAAGGAGAGAAYGGATTTTGATCACTTCAGTGATATTCACTGACTTACTAGAGTGAAAGTACCATGTATCTGTGAAACAGCTCAAGGGAGTGTATTCACCATTAAATATAATAAGCCCTTTTGCTTTTAAAAGCACAATATCTTATTCTTTCGAGGATCTGTTGAATCCACTCTACTTTATTAGAATAAGTAGCATATGATGTATTTATCCAGCATCGCCATCAAGGGACATCTTGGTTTTTGCTGTTCAACTGTTATCAGTAGTGGGTAATGGATTTTGACAATACAAATTTAGTTTTGTTTCATAAATTCATGGTCTGCACTCTAATCTAAGGACCTATAAACTCTTACTCAACATTTTGATCATGAACGATAGCTTTATCCATTGAACTGTCTGTCACAAGTGAGTCAGGGTTTATAGGCAACTTCACTCATTTGATAACATGATATATTGCTTGTTTTGTAGTTTAGTATAATAGGTGTAATACCTTTAAGAACAAATTTGTTTGAATTTGAATTTTCAATATACATTTTATTTTTTTGAAGTAGTCAACAATATTAAAAATGAAATATTGTAAAAAGGTGTCAGATCACTAACAGACAAAATCTTAAATACACTGTCATAGTGTTATCAGATTRCTTTTTGAGTTTGTGTTAGAACAGAGGCGCTGCTCTGTGTTTAACTTGCATCCAAAGTCCCTGAGCACACAGCAACATCCCTTGGTTTATGATAGTATATTATACAAAATAATGATATTTATTGCCAATGCAACGCAGGCACATGAATAACCTAATATAACTCCAACATAAACTGCATTTGCAACATTTGTGAAAGTTTGCCCACAAAATTGCATGCAAATTGGCACAAAATCCTGTCTTTTATCATTTTTAAGCAGTGTTCAAGAATACTTCTACAAAGCGTTGTGCAGATAAAAAATGAATTCGCTTATTAAAAGTGTAGAATCAGTGAGTTTTGAAATGAAATTTCTTGTCCTGAAAAATAAGTTGCACTCAAGGGCTACTGACAAAAGGAACAGCTGTAGAGACTACTTTCCTGTTGTGTTATGGTAAGTCATATGGCTTTGCTCTGCTCCAAAGCAGGCTATGTTCTCCTGAAACTTTGATCTGATATGTTTTGATATATCACTTATTMAGATCACATAATTTTATTATTCATATTCATCAATTGGAAATTATAGCATTTACATTTCAAAAACAACATAATAATATACAATTTAGCAATTAATATTGTCTGCGATTCTGAAGTACAGTAATAAGAAATGTTACAAAAATGCTGAAKGCATTTATTCTACAATAAAAGAACTGATTTTTCTGTACCAATTTTKTTATCCCTGATTTGRAAACAAAAATATAATCATTTTGCAAAACACTAGAAAAAAGTTGYGAGAGATACTGGAGATTTTGATTGTTTTCTTTGCTCGCTCACTAGCAATAATTTARATAGTCTTTCACAGGCTGGATTTAATGACTTTAACCAGAAACCCTCATGTCCTCYTCTTTGTAGTTGCAACCACTGCAGATGTTTCACCAAAATATTTCAAAATGCATGCACTCTCAAAAAGTTTTTTTATGAAAATGTTATTCTACCAGGAAGTGTACTGCAAAGATCTTCCATCAAGTTGATTCTCTCATTTACAATTTGCTTGAACTTATATTATTTAAAATTATAATTATTAGCTACAACCTTGGCCATTCCAAGGAAGAATGAAAACATTTTGTGCGTTTATTCCAAGTAGACTCCAGATGGCATTGTGCATTAGTCACCACCCCAATTTTTACTCGCAACACCCAGAATTTTTGTCTTTCTTAACATTTGCTAAATTAACACCACCAGTTGCTGAAAATCCACTACGGTTTTCTTTACTTTGCTGTTCAAGGAGTTTAAGTCTCTTGACTGCAGCTATGAACGCTTCGTTCACGTTCGTTGAATCTTTAGCGCTCGTCTCAAAGTAAGGTACRCCACCATTTTGCCTACACCARGTATCAGCTTCTTGYTGCGATACTACTCTACCTTCTACATCCAACTTATTGCCTAATAAAATAAATGGGAAATTATCCGGATCACGCACATCAGCATAATAAAGAAATTCTTTCTTCCACATTGATAAGTTAGTGAAGCTTTTGACGTCGTCCACTGCATATACTAACAGACATAGATCRGATCCACGGTAAAACGGTGTACGAAGACTTTTAAAACGTTCCTGGCCTGCTGTATCCCAGATTTGTAAAGTGAAAGTCTCTCCATCCAACGTCACGTCTTTATTCAAGAATTCAACGCCGATCGTGTGAAACGACTGACTATCGAACTTCCCACTTACAAATCTATTCATCAACGACGATTTCCCGACTCCTCCATCACCCAAAAGGACTACTTTCAATAGCGTACACTTCCCAGACATTATTTCACCAAAAAATCGAGTTAAATTCTTTGTGGAAGGGTTCTGCAATGATTTACAACGGAGTACTCTTCTGTGCCTCTACTCTCCTGATCTGTCCGCCATATTGACTGTGGTCATCTGTATGTCACGTGATSTTGTCATACATGACGCAGTAACTAATCTGACGTCATGCAATATAACGTTATGAAATATCTAAAAATAAATGATATGTTGTCATGGATTTGGGCCCTAAAACACTCCTTTGAGGAAGTTCTTACCTCTAGCAAATAACAGTTATAAACATGTTTCAATGACTGAGTAACCCTTTACTTTGGTCAGGAAATAGTGAAAATCACGATTTTTTCACGATGCACTAATGATTGGAATATCTGCAAAAGAACGAATATTTTGCAGACCAGTAGCATGTTCAACGCCACATCTATRTTGAGCACATAATTTGAAAATTATTATTTTTGTATTTGGCTCCTTTGCATCATTATCAAGTATTTTATTTTCAAAAGGGTGCTTTAAATATACAAATTAATACAGAACCTGACAATAATAAATAAACAGTTTTTTTAATTTTCACAACAATTGTCAAATTTATTAGCCTCATATKTGTGTAAAGTTATTGATATTTCCCAAATAACAATCCTTATGAAATAGCCAGTGCCTTACAWTCCTTTGCATGAGGAATAGTCCAATAATCATTTACTTCGATGGTCTAAGACTTTCACTTGAAGCAGAATTGTACTCGATCCAAAATTGCAGTTCTTTTGGAAGCTCAGGTCTGGGYAGTTCTTTACCAAATAMTTTCAAAATCAGTTGTTGAGGTGTAATCGGACCTTGCTTCTTCTTCTGAACTAGTACTTGTTTTGTGATAGAAATCGCTGATATAAAACCATCACTAGTCACAAATTGACTCTCCAAGTAAAAAGCTTTGTCATCCCAGTAAATAACTCTTGTCTTCAAMGTTACACATTGAAACAGCTCTAGTGATCTTCTGTATCTTATTGTAATTGCTCCCACTACAAGTCCATTGATGTATTTCTTGCATTCAGGAAACAGAGTACCATASAAAAACTTTGTTCTTGCAAAATCTGCTTCTCTAAGATATCTAAAAACAAGAGGGGTATAACAAGTTGCATTATGGGAAACTAGGAATATTGGTGAGAAATTTACAGATTGAAACCAAAAATTCAAATGAAAAATTCTAATCATATCAGCTATATTACCCAAAAGGACTTCGTGAAATTCGACAATTATCAAATTCCTGACTGAATAAGTTTTTATACATACCTCGAGTTGTTCATATGGCCCCAAAAATCAATATCAGATGGCAAAACCCAAAACGTTGAAGTGCAGGTTTCCAGGAGGTCCAATTTGACTCCATATAAGCGTAGCATAAATACCCCATAAATACCACGAAGAAAATAACTGACATCCACTATGCTGTTCAATAATGGAACGACGAACAAAATGTAAAATCCCAATAGTTTGATGAGAAGAATGATGAGAACAATTAGTGCAATCAATATTGCAATAACTTTATAAAGATCGTACTTTGAAGACATGCTCCTTATAAACAAAATGCTAGGAACTGACTAAATTTAGTCTAGAATGTAGGAAGAAATTTCAGCTGTAAGACAGGCTGGTCAGTGAATGTTTCATTCATGGCTTCCAGTTCCGCCGGATTTAGCCTGACATAGGAAGCCCAATATATAAACAATGAAAAAAAGGTTTAAAGAATTATTTGAATGTAATTTTAATTGTAAAATTAATAGGAGCTCTGTTTAAAAACCTTTTGCTTTACCTATAATATTTTTTTCGTCTTTAGACTATTTGATTTCAGAATTTCAATGTTTTCAAATTACACAGAAAGCCCAACGACAAAAACAAAGCATATTGGGGGTTCCTGTGTTCTGATCACTTGATATCCAACAGGTTACGTTTTGTTAGCTTTATATTTTGGCTGTAAGTTCCAACAACTATGTGCATTTGAAAGTGAAACACCTTAAGTCTGGTCTAATCTGAATAATGGAACCTCTTGGCAACCRAACCTCAACTGTCAACCCTTTGCCTACAAGCTCACATCCAAACAGCACTGACAAGCCCACWGAAACACCAAGTTTGGAGAAGAACTCAGACACCACAGCCTTCCTTGTGTCACTTGCAATCAATGGGTTAATAGCCTTCATTGTTCTTTTTCTCTTCTCTTTGCTAAGGCGAAAGCTCAAAAAGATATATTCTCCAAGGCTGATTCTTTTAGAGGGAAAATTTCCACTAGGAAAGCTTCCCAGATCGTTTTTYTCTTGGGTCATACCTTCACTAATGGCCAAAGACGACGATGTGTTTTATTACGCTGGTTTCGATGCGCTTGTTTACATTCGTTTTCTAAAGCTTTGTATTAAAATTTCCGCGGTAATACTACCATATGGTGTTGCTGTTTTGCTGCCATTGAATATCTATGGGGGACACCATGGCACTGGTCTTCCTAAAATGACTTTGTCCAATTTATTAGAAGATTCACCAAAAATGTGGGCGCATTTCGTTGCGGTTTGGGTTTACACTTTTATAATATGCTATCTGTTATATGAAGAATGGAAAGTGTTTATTATCTACAGACAAGAGTATCTAGCAAAAGGACTGCACCACCAATATGCTGTGCTTGTCAGGGATTTACCAGCRAGGGTAATTCATTGATGACTATTGATAATCCTGAAGATCTAGTTCAAAAAGAGGAAGTGATTGCTTTTATCATTTCAATCTCTTAATTACTAAATTAATTAATATAGGCCAATAATTATGATTACATAATTAATTGCCTGACAGTTAAGAGTACGTAAATCACTAATTTCATTACTAAAACTAAACCAAACCTGAACTATAGGGTTAACCAAGGACTTTTCCCCAGTAATTTTGTTGAACATGAACGTTTTGATTTCCACTATAAACCCAGCAGCTGCAAATGTAGACACTTTGCAATAAATAATACAAACTAAAAATGATTTTTCATTTCCATAGCTCTGTAATGAGGAGAACATGAAGTCTCATGTTGATACTTTATTCCCAAACCAGGTAAATGTCATTTTCMGATAAATGCGATGAATAAGAGGTCCTATGTAAATATAGCCTGTGTAGCAGCTCTAGAGGAGGGGGAAGGAGAGAAAAGGGAAGGGGAGGAGGGTGGGAGGAGGGGGTGAACGAGCGGACCCACCCCCTTCCCATTCCATTTTCCCTCCCCTCCCCCCCCTCTCCCTTAGAGCCACTACGAAGGGTAGTGTAAATACATAGATTGCCTCATTATTAGATTTTTGGATGGGTTCCCTGTGGAGGGACACAGGAATCCTGACTAATTTCTGCAAAGGGAAGTTATAGCAGTTACTCTCAATGGATGGGTAAACCCATAAAATACACTGGAGTATAATAGGCTTATTTAGTATTATTTTCCCCCTCGCATTTCACACCTGATTACAATTTGTTTCATTGATTCATGAAAACCATTGAGAAATCATAACCAGTATTGGGATGTTATTTTACAAGGTTCACAAGCAGCCCAATTCTACATGTAGAATTTARTATTTAGTACGTTGTAATCTCGCCAAGTCATCATTAGAGCCTWAGACATTATTGACAGTTTAATTGTTATTGACAATATTAAATCAYTGAAAGTTTATATGATATCTGGAATGCAGGTTGAGGATGTGACAATGGTAGAAGAGCTTGGCAGATGGGAATCATTGGTCTCAAAGCATGATAAACTTGTATGGAAATTAGAAAAGGCCAAGGTAAATATGATTTATTAAAAATGACACTGAAAAATGTGAACTGTGAAACTCCATTTTCCCATTTACATAAAATGAAATGATTTGCAATTTTGTAATRCACATGGCATTGGGATTATTTTATCATTTAAGTATACGTTATCAATATATAATTTTAGTTTGAACTTGAAAGAACAGGAGAAAGACCAAGCTACAAATCCAATGTATTTGATGAAGAGAGRGATGCAATAACATACTATGAAAATGAACTCAAGGTAATCTCTTCAATTATTATTCCACCCTTATYCATTCATTTCTATTTGTTTTATTGATTGATTGATGGATTGATTGATTGATTCATTCATTCATTCAATTAGCCATCCTGCTTTTTTTTTGTTTAATTCATAGAAATTGCAGTTAAGGCTAGAAGATGAGATGCATCAAGATCACCTTGTRTATCCATGTTCCTTTGTGATATTCAAGTCTCTTAAGTTTGCCAACCAGTCTCTCGTTAATAACTCACCTCTAAGGAAAAGAAAAAAAGCATTTCCTGCCCCTTCTGCAGCTGAAGTARTTTGGGAAAATCTTAAACTGAATCCAGCAAAGAGGTATGTGGATGTCTATTGTTATATTATCCCTTTCATCCATTTCGTTTTTTGACTATTCGTTTATTCATTTCATTTCTTTTTGTTTGCTAGGACTATTCGTTATTTCCTGGTAATGGTAATTGTTCTATGGATTGTGATTTTCTACTTCATTCCTGTTGGCTTTGTTTCTTCTCTTATTGCTCTAGACAGACTGACAGATTTGATA